TATCAGTGGATCTATTCAGCTGAGTTTGATAGCCTTTGTTCTGAGTCATCCAGTCGCTAGTGACCTAATAAGATCCAAATATCCTAAAACCTCTTCTGATAGTTTTATGTATCCACTGTAACTCATACAGTGAGATAAGAGTGTTAAGCCATGACCTCCTAGCTTTCTTGATTAAAATGGAAAGACATTTTATTTTACCCTTAAGCTTACCTGTTTGGGAAGATGTTACATTTTTAGGACCAGTTCTTACTTACCTGACCATTAGCTTGCAGTTAGTCTCAGTATCCTGAGTGTTTGATTGATTGAGAGAAGGATGGGACTGGACAGATAGCTCAGCAGTTAAGAGCACTGACTGCTTTTGCAGAATACCTGGCTTTGGTTCCCAGCACCCACATGGCAACTAACAACTGTAACTCCAGTTCCAGGGGATCCGAGACAGCCTCTTCTGTCCTCCATGGGCGTTGCACGACACGGGTGCCCTTACCTACATGCAGGCAATACACACATACACATTAAAAAAAAATTAATAACCACGTGATTAGAAGCATTTCATTATAGCTTTAACATACTCAATAACAATCTCCAGAGCAAAGATACATCTCTTTCAAAAGTGGCTATAAAATTTTTAGGTTCACTGTTGAATTAATACAGTTACACAATATTGAACTCAGTAAAAACCCTGTAAGACATAAAATTGAATGAGATTTTAACCTTTAAAAAAGATCTCCATTTAATTTTAACATATACTGTTTCTTACAGAAAGACTTACTGTTTTTGCTAATAACACTTAGATGTTGGTGCATGCGTCTCTAATCTGTATGTATCTGATTATTACTAGCCATGGTTGGTTGCATGCAGATCCTTGGTACCTGTGTATGGATATAAAGTCATTGGGTAGGTTTCAATGGTAATGTTTATCATCTCTACTAATTAACATGACATAAATTTTTATGTTTCCTCCTCAAATAATTTAATATCCTATTTCCAAATGCTCAGTTGAGTGGTATTAAGTACATATGTATTTAATAGAATCATTACCATTATCAGTCTCCAGAACTCTTTATCTCTCAAAAGTGAAACTCTTGTACCCAGTTAACAATAACTACCCTCTCCTGCATGTAAAACCTGAGTGGTATTAAGTACATATGTATTTAATAGAATCATTACCATTATCAGTCTCCAGAACTCTTTATCTCTCAAAAGTGAAACTCTTGTACCCAGTTAACAATAACTACCCTCTCCTGCATGTAAAACCTCAGGAACCACATTTCTACTTTCTACTGTTTCAGTGAGTTCAACTTCTCTCCCATCCATGGTCCATGAACTTTACAATTCTGAGTTCCTTGATTAAATGGAATCCTAAAGTATTTGTTCTGTTGTGATGGGCATATTTTACTTGACGTAATATTCTTAAGATTCAGTTATGTTGTCATATGTCAGAATCTTTTTTAAAATTGTATTTATTGAGCCGGGCATGGCAGCACACACCTTTAATCCCAGCACTTGGGAGGCAGGGGCAGGCGGATCTTTGTGAGTTCAAGGCCAGCTTGATCTACATAGTGATTTCCAGGACAGCTGGGGCGACAGGGAGACCCTGTCTCAAAAAGACAAAAAAAAATTGTATTTATTATTATTCTGTGTATGATGTCTGGGTGTATATGCTGTTGCCCATGTACAGATGTCAGAGGACAGCTTTGTGGAATTAGTTCTCTCCTTCCACCTTTACTTGGGTTCTGGGGATCAAACTCGGGCCATCAGATTTGCATGGCAACACCTTTACCCATTGAGCCATCTTGCCAGCCGAGAATCTTTTTTAAAGGCTGAATAAAATTCTGCTAAACATATGCCACATTGTGCTTATGCATCATCAGTCTTTTCAGTTTTTGGCTATTGTTGTTGATGCTGTCATGAGCATGGATATACAAATAGTTCTTTAGACTCTGCTTTTAAATATATTGAGTGTATTATCAGCATGGTGGTATACACCTTTAATCCCAGCACTCTAGAGGCAGAGGCAGGTGGATCTTATGAGACTGAGGCCAGCTGGGGCTACAGGGATACCTTCTCTCTCAAAAAAAAAAAGTGTTGAGTTTAAGGGCTGGAGAGGTGGCTCAGTGGTTAAGAGCACTGGCTACACTTTCAGAGGATTTGGATTCAGCACCCACATGGCAGCGAACACCTGTCCTTACCTCCAGTTCCAAGGGATCAGATGCCCTCTTCCAACTTCACTGGCATTGTATGACACTTGCATACATGAAGGCAAAACATTCATACACATAAAATATAAGTAAATAATAAATAAGTAAATAAATAAATAAAATATTTTAAATGTTCAATATATGCCCAGAAGTGAAATTTTTGGTAGTTCTCTTTATAATTTATTAAAGAAGTAACATGCTGTTTTCCATGACATCTGCAGCATTTTACAGTCCTCCATTATACACAAGGGTTTCAGTTTCTCCAGATCCATCTTTTGGGGTCTTTTGCTTTGTTTGGCTAGTTAATTTTTGGGGGTTTTTTTTGTTTGTTTGTTTTGTTTTAGGATTTGGAATTATCATCTTGTGCTCTCCTGGCTTGTACAAAGGAAATAATCTCAAAAAAATGATAAGAATAAAATCACCTAATAACACAGAAAACAATAACAAAATGGTGATTAGCCCTAACTTATAAATATTTTTTCAGTGTAAATATATTAAATTTCCCAATCAAAAGTTGTCAAATGGGTGGCTAAAAAAAAAAATCTTGGTGATACACTGTTTACAGGAGAGTTGGTTTAGATCTAGAGTGCATGCAAATGGTAACCAACAGAAGTCAGGATGGTTATACTCTATTGGACAGAATGAACTTTAAGTCAGAAACTTTCTGCGTAGAGAAATATAGTCATTGAAAGTTTCAATCCAGTAGGAAAATCTAACAATTATTTATATACCCAGCATCAGAGCTAAATATATAAAGCAAATGACAGAAAACTCTAAAGGGAGAATTGATAGCAATACAATAATAGTTGACTTTATAGACAATTTCAATAATGGCTAGAACATCCAAACAAAATCACTAAAGAAACAGCTGGCTTCAATCGCATGGTTAATGAAATGAAGCTAACAGACAAACTTTACACCCAATGGCATAATACACAGTTTTCTAAAGTGCACATGTAACATTCACATAATACATTGTATCAGGTCACAGAATTAGTCATAGCATATTCAAGAAGATTA